AGAGAGTATTACAACATATTTAGTTTAAAAATTGTCATATATATTGTTTTAAGGTGTTTAAAAAAGTACAAACATTAAGAACGATAGTGTTTTCAAGTTCACAACAATATAAAGATATAACTCTCCATATTTGTTGATAAGATATTTAATTTAGATAAAAGATTATAACGTTAAAATAATAATGTCTTGTCATATGTTAGTACGTGGCACAAGACACACCCGTATATTAAAAAGTTGTTAATCCTGAAGATCCTGATCAGGATAATCGGACAAACTTATTAAAATATTGTATTGGCATCGGTCCTTGACAAGTGTGCAAAATTTCGAATTTATCTGACTTGTTAAAGCGGATAAAAATCTAGTTCTAAAATTCCGTTACACACATACCTACAGGTGAAGCTGAAAAAAACGTGTTAAAAACTACTGTTTCCCAAGGATAACAAAAATATATAGACTTTGTCGAAGTTGTAGTTAGAAACTTACTAATTAGACTTCCTCCGAGCCTTTTTTCCTGAACTAGGTTCGGCATTAAGTCTACTAAGTCTATTCCGATACTGCTGAAATTCGATTTTTATTCGATTCGATATTCAATCAGACCTCCAAGACCCAAGTACGCTATCGAAGTTCTGTAGTAAGACTGTTGTTTGACTTTTTAGGACTCCAACTCATCATCATCATCAATAGCCTATACTAGTCCACTGTTGGACATAGGCCTCTCCTTAGAAAGGAGGTTTTGGCCTACTATACCACGCTGGCCAGAAGGGTTGGTATAGGGTTTGAGTCAAGTTTTCCTTCCTTCTCTTTGACTCCAACTACTACTAAAAGACAACGTCCGCATTAAGAATATATCCTGTGTCGCGGGGGGGCTTTACAAACATACATGAAACGAACATAAGGAACACCTAGACTCAGAACAACAATTTGTGGATCACACAAAGTGTCGTCCCATGTGGGGTTTGAACCCACAACACTCGGCGTAGTAGGAAGCGGCGTGGCGACTGCTTAAACCGCTACGCCATCCGTGCAGTCAGATTGCCACAGATGTTCGTATGGCAACTGGAACCGGCTTAACGTGCTCTCCGGTACACGGAGGGGGAGGGGCTTTAGACTGCTCTGGCTAGGATTGCTTAACTTTGCAACTGCTTAACCTACTCAGTTACCACTGTTACTTACAAATTAGACTTTGTCGACGTTATCTTTACTTTGGATACCAAATTTCACGATTTTACCCAGGACTGGTTTAAGTCTTGTACGGGGATTTTTGTATATATATCTCCGTCGCGTCGCGGCGTCGGCTGGAACCGGTTAATATACCTACTAAACCGCCTACTTGAGAGACTTGTGTCCTCCTAAGAGCAATGACTGCCAATGACTTTCATCATTCCTCTAGAGTAAACAGTAGACGACACGAATCGTTATATATTTTATGATAAAATTGTACTTACCTACGTAATTTATAAAAAGGCGTGGAAAGTAGTCAAGGGCCATTACGATCAATAAAAATAAACAGACATGGAGATTGTCTGATTATGACTAAAGAATTAATACCTATCTGGCCTTTTTTCTATAAATATTATACGATTAATAAATTCTGTAAGTGTAAGGACATCTCACTATCAAATCATTCCACTACGTAAATACAAACGTTTTTAAGTAATCCTTCTTATATTGCTTGTTAACAGTTTGCGACAGAAAAATCAACAGGTGGTCCGCAAGTATAAATTAACTGTGCCTGTCTTGTTAGATATCATAAAAATGGCAACCACTTCACTCTTGACCATTTTACATAGTTGCCACTTCCTTCTACGCCAAGTGTTGTGGGTTCAAACCCCACATGGGACGACACTTTGTGTGATCGACAAATTGTTGTTCTGAGTTTGGGTGTTCTTTGTGTCCGTTTTGTACGTACAAATTCAAATTTTGCAGTCGAATCTTTGTCATAACCCCCCCTATTCAAGTGCAACTCATACAACAGCTGGTTCGTCTTAACTTGTTTGTTTAATTATGACCTTATTACGTAATATTATGACCACACACAAGTCATCGACAATCGCTTTTTATCAGGTAGTATGTTTTGTTCAAATCAGTTGTTTTAAGTTACGCCTACTTAGATAAACACTATCAGTAAATGAAATTAATTACGTAAAAGAAGTACCGTGTTATCCACTGTATAAATAAAATTTGTCACGAAACGAAACAAAGTTATGTCAAGATTCGTACGGTTTACTGACTAGAATCTATACAAATATTATAAAGCTGAAGCGTGTGTTTGAACGCGGTAATCTCAGGAACTGGTTTGTATTGAAAAATCCTTCATTGTTGGATCGCCCATTTATAGAGAAAGTCTATCTAATATTACGCTACGACCAATAGGAGCCGGGCATCAATGAAAAATGTTACAAAAATGGGCAAAAAAAATTATTTTATTAAAGAAACGCAGTCCGTGTGGTGACGGATTAAGTATACAAATTGTCACCACCCCAATTTATCCCGTGGGTGTCGTAAGAGCCGACTAAGGGAGCAAACTAAGCAGGACAACAGAACTGCAAAGAGAAGGAAAACTTGAAACAAACCCTATACCAACCTGTCTGGCCAGCGTGGTATAGTTGGTCAAAACCTCCTTTCTAAGGAGAGGCCTATGTCCAGCAGTGGACTAGTATAGGCTGTTGATGTGTGATGATGTGAAAGAAACGCAGATGAAATTGCGCGGGGTAACTAGTCACTATACATATATATATAGGATTAAAATCATCTGCAGTCATTGCTCTAAGCAGGGATTTATATACCTCCCCAGGGCTGGGGGTGACAGGTGAGGCCATCTGTCACCCTAGCAGAAGCAGGCCGGGGTGGCGGCGAGCGCGTTGCGAAGCGCGCTTGCTTCCAGGGAGCAGAGGGAACATGGGGTTCCCACACGGGGGGGATCGTCTACTCGTCTGTAGATGGCCCGAGGTATGTCGGGGCACCAGGGACTTCCTTTCTAGGGTATACCTGGTTCCCCGGCTATTAGTACCCGAGACGGCGTGCGGTTTTAGTCGGTTCGAGTCCGACATGCCACCGATAGGTTGTATCCGAGGGGATTTCCGCACGGAAAAAAAAGGGATTTATATACCTACCCATAGATTACCCTCTTTTTGTTTTTTAACCCCCTCGGGCCGTCACCCTACCGGAGTTTGCGGCGGGGTGGTGTGTCGGAATCGGACGTCGGAATGTCTGATGCAACTGCACTGTGAGTACTGTGACCTGTTTTTATTAACCTTTAGCCACCAAGGTGGTTTTTTTGGGGCGTTTTAAAGAAAATATGTAAGTTAGTTATGCATCAATTTTTTTGTTTATATTGTTAATTTGGGATCTACAAATGTAATAAATGATAATTTTAGTATTCATCTTTTAATTAAATTATTAAAGGACTTTTAATCTCTGACTTCATTTTTAAACTAAGAAATGGCACTTAACGTCTTAGGTACCTAAGTCATAAAAAAAATTTACTTCTTAAAAACCATGAAATATACTTTTCTTTATACTTAATGGTTATATTTATTACTTGAAAAGCGCTAGTGTAGTACGGTACGCGACTGTTGCCCATTAGGCCTCGGGTTCGATTCCCGGACCGGGGAAAAATATTATAGGTTTTTCTGAGAGGAAATATAACCTTATTTACTCTATGTATAGCTTTATGGTAGTAAAATATCATCAGCAGTTTTGAAGATTACCCGGTACAAACAGACAGACTGACAGACAGAAAAAAAATATTTAAACTGGTTTTTAGGCATAGGTATCGTGCAAATAACCGCGGGAGCATGAAAAAAGCCTATTGTTTTGACATAACAAACAGACACTCCAAGGAGGAATTTGGACTTTTTGCCGCTTGTATATACAAAGTTTAACTTTATTACATTCATCATCATCATCATCAACAGTCTTTAGTAGCTAGTCCACTATTGGACACATGCCTCTCCTTAGAAAGGATATTTTGGCCAGTTGGCCTATTATACAACACTGGCAAGAGGTTTTGATATAGGGTTTGTTTCAACTTTTCCTTATCTTTGCATTGCTGTTGTCCTTCGTAGTTTGTTTATTAAATTAGTTATTTTTAATTATAATTTTAAAAGGTACTTGTCGTATAGAGATAAACAACTAAAAGATGTTCTCTGAATGTCAAGTAGATAGGTCTTGTTTCTTTTTCTAAGCGGTTGATATGTTGCCAACACAATCAAAATGTCATCCATCATGACAGTTACTGTACGATTATGATACCACAGTTCTCTAAGTTCGGTTGTCGTACTCCTCTGATAAGATCTGAGTACAATAAAGTGTATTAATATTTACTTTATCGACTTGATAAATAACCGTTTGCCGATGTTAGTGGCGAACTAACAAATAATCTCAAGCATTGTGATATGAAATAGGGTTGCCAAATTTAAAAGTCCCTACTAGTAGTCTATTAAAATAACGTACTTATTTTTGGGGTTACAAAGTCACTAGAAGAGCTATAGGTAGGGTAACACGGCACTCCTCGGGATAGGGCCTAACCAGGCGCGGCGTCGACCCTGGGGGACCTGAATTCTGAAATTACATGGTCCGGGTCCTACTTGAGGAGTAGACCCGCTCTGAGACCGGTCGTCGGGGTGGTATTTAATGCAAACACCACATACTCCTGGCTCCTACGTAGGGATTTGCCATACCGTCAACAAAACAAAACAATGGCAAACGGAGACCTTGCCTCTGGAGTTACATATGTGAATGGGCGGCAGTAGTCACTTACCATCAGGTCCCGTACCCGTCTGGTACTTTGCCCTGTGGCCTATCCAATTTATAAAAAAAAGTTTTTAAATAATTTTTGGTCTTCACTGTAAAATTTGATATTTCGAGATACGAAAAAAACACTTTCTGCTGTCTATGTATTGCTTCGATACATAATACGTAACCTTCAAAAGAGCCCTCCCTCCCTCCAACCGGTAATAATTTACATTGTTTTTACCCTTACATTTTTTTTATTTCAGTCAGAAAACTGGCAACAGAACAGATCGCCCCTCTAGTCAGGAAGATGGATGAAGAACATCGCATCGACGACGGTATCAGACAAATGCTTTTTGACAATGGTGTGAGTAAATTATATACCAATAATAACTAAAGCAGGTTTCAGATTAAATTGTTTCTTTGTACATTACCATACATCTGTAGGACTATAGCTGTTCCTCTTCGTGAGACTTAACTTGTCTTGTTCCTTGTGGAGTTTCCCGGCTACCTTTCGAAAGACACTATGAAAATACTACATCGGAGCACAATTGCCTAAACAATAGGAATGCATACAAATACAATTGTCTATACTTGCCTCCATTCAGTTCCCAATTCTATTAATTTTCCAATTTGTCGGAATGTCAATCACACACACAAAAACACTTCTGGTCATTTTAGGTTCATACTTAAATAATTTCTAAATCCATACCTACATATTATATATAAATTACACCCATACACAGAATAAATGATCGTGCTCATCACAGAATTATTTGTCTGGGTGGGAATCGAACCCACGACATCTGGCTTAGTAGACAGGATCATTAACCACTTAACCAACAGGCCCGTCGTACGCAAGAATCAAACTAGAAGCATCCTAAAATAAAACAAGACCAAGGGGAAAATCTTTGCATAGCGTTGTAATTATATTTACCAAATTCTAGACCATTACTAAATTTATTTTCCAGCTGATGGGAATCGAAACACCTACCGAATACTCCGGTTCAGGCTGTGGTTTCCTAACAATGATGCTTGTAGTTGAAGAACTCTCGAGGGTAGATCCCGCTGTAGCCGCTTACGTGGACATCCACAACACTCTAGTCAACTCACTTTTTATGAAGTTAGGAACCGAAGAACAGAAACAAAAGTATTTGACCAAACTCTGCACGGAATACGTAAGTTTTTTTCTTTTACTAACTTCAACTTAAGTCTCTCTGGAGAACTAAAAACTAACGGGGATGAAAGATATTTCAATAGCAACCAGATGCAACAGATAGATGTACGGACGGGATAGTCAAAGCTTGTTAGCTTTAACAATACTATCCGTCAATAGCGTCCGTCAATCTGCACTTGGTTGCTTGCTTTTTACTTTAAAATATTACTTGTTTTTAAGTAATAAAGGACCATCAAACCCATAGCAACAGACCTTCGTTTTGTAGCAAACGCAATACTTTGAGAATAGGTAGAAAATTCCCGCCACTTGGATGCCAAAATCACTTAAGCTGGGCTTAAGACATGGTTTACAGAATAAAGAGAAAACCTAACATTTACTAATACCACATTAATATCATCTTTGCAGGCTGGAAGCTTCTGCCTCACAGAACCTACGTCAGGGTCCGACGCGTTCGCCCTCAAGACCGTGGCAAAGAAGGACGGTGACCACTTTATCATCAACGGCTCCAAGATGTGGATCTCTAACTCAGATGTCGCTGGGGTGTTCCTTGTTATGGCTAACGCTGATCCCTCAAAGGTAAGTGAAAAAAAATAAACTAAGTGAATATCAAGATGAGGAACCAAAAAGACAAATTGGCCAAGGACGTTACTGAGTGGTGGCCGAGACAATACAAAAGATGAAAAGGGAGACAGCGTCGTCGGTGGGAGGACGACATCATAAGAATATCAGGAATTACATGGAGAAGGAAGACACATTCTATGGCAGGCTTATGTGAAACCTATGCTGGGAAGCAAGACAATCTTCAAGAAACGGGGGTCAATTGTTGAAAATTAGTCTTTAAGAAATGTTTCCTATGTAAGATAGTAAAATAAAGGCTATTATTATTATCCTGGGGTTCAGATATACTTCAGGAAGATAATCAGAAACTCTTGACAGATTTCGAGCATTTTTCGCACATCTGTGGGAGAGCCATGCTCCGGTGCATATGGGCCAAGCTTGAACGGAGTGTCACTCCGGTCGAGCCGGCCCATTCGTGCCGAAGCATGGCTGTCCCACGGCGAAATACCTATTCTGATTGGATTCAAGAAATTATATTTTCTGCTTCCAGGGTTACAAAGGTATCACCTGCTTCATAGTAGAGCGAGAGACTCCTGGTCTATCAGTGGCTAAACCAGAAAACAAACTCGGCATCCGCGCTTCTGGAACTTGCATGGTCCACTTTGACAACGTCAGGGTACCAGAAAGTAATATCCTTGGTGAATATGGCAAAGGGTACGTACATATATTTGACACCTGAACTAATGTTTTTATACTTCATCAATGCCGAATTCCTAAAACAGTTAGACATCTTCAGCAATAAGATTGAAAGAAAGAAAGAACCTAGAAATCATCAAGGCTTTCTAGCAAATTGGTCCTCTAAAGGTATTTAACGAATGTTTGACACTATAGACTTAGGTGTTCGGATGAATCTTCTTCTACATCCGAAAGTGTAGCACTGCCGCTGCGAGGAAGTTTAACTTCCAGGGAAGTAGGGCCTCCATAAGAGGCGAATTTCCAAGAAGTCCGTAGTCATCTGAAAGATTCGTTACTTTGTCTTTAGCTCCACCTTATTTGTTCTTTCTTCCAAAAAACATTCGCTCATTAATAATAAACATCTGAAACCCCTTATGCGTATACGACTCTTACCTGCTGCTTAATTTTTTTTATAGTTAATTCCAAAAGTGCTTGGTTAACGGCAAAGACCATTAATGGGAGTTTTTCACGTTTCTGCCTACTTCTTCATAGATAGAGAAGTGGTAATAAAACATTTGGGTCTGGGCTTAATTAAAATGGTGGACCGATTTCCCAACTAGATGATAAAATGTATAATTCCATGTTACAGGTACAAATACGCCGCAGGGTTCCTGAACGAGGGTCGCATCGGTATCGCATCGCAGATGATCGGCCTGTGCCAGGGCTGCATGGACGCCACCATCCCTTACACGCTGGAGAGGAAACAGTTCGGCAAGAGCATCTACTCCTTCCAGGTACCACATCATTATTACTCATCCTCATATTTTCAAGTTGAAGAACACATAAACAGGTAGTGACTGGATACAGAGACAGCTTGTGGCGACTTCCACACACAATGTAGCAAAACCATATATCAGTGCCAACTAACGAAGCCACACCGAACTACAGACTATTTGCTAACTCTGTATCGCGGTACAAAAAAAATCACGACGATTGCTTTCATAACTATACAGCTTCCCAACATCAACCGAGGATCCTCTCCTTGTGTTAGACTTGATAACCGTTCCGCCAAATGTAGGTATTACCGGCTTATTGATCTTTTCTATAAATATTTTATTCACACCTGCTGAAAAAATAGCAGCAATCCGCAGAAAAACAACACAGTAGAAGTATTTAAGCTCAGAATAATTATACTATTTTATTTTATTTTGTTAGGAATACCGAAGTAACAACGAAGCTATTTACAGGTATTCGCAAATAGATCCCAAGTGTGAAACAATAGTTCAAATAACTTAGCAACAACAACTTAGAAAAAAGAAAAACTTAGACTAAAAAAACGTCACGCTCCTAATATTGGGCTTAAAAAATTTTTGAATCATGTATTTTTTGACATGTGAAGGTCTGGATCTGAAGAGCTCAAACTCGCTACTCAATTTATGCATATCATTTACTGGCTCAAATAATAAAGGAATTTTTGCGGTAGTTGGTATTTGTTCGAGATACTGCTAAGGGTGGATTATGCCTAGTGCGTAAATTATGCGGTACTATGATTTTAATTTTCTCGAGAAGAATCGTATATCTCCTTTAATGATTTTTTAAAATGTAACAATATCGGAGACAGTACGTCTATTTGTTAAAGGCAGAAAATGATATCTCTTACAGCTTGTTACATATCCGTGATCAATACACTTATACTTATAATGCAAATATCTTAAAAATCTTTTTTGGATGGACTCAATACGATCAATATATATATTACAATGCGGGTTATAAACCTTAGACGCATACTCGATACTATGACCTTTACACATTTTTTTTAATGTCTTTAACCTCCGACGCGTCGCCGTCACAACAGTTGTGACACCAGATTTTTACGCGGTAGCATCTCTGTCACAACATTTAGAAGAATATATATCAGGGATTCCAAATATGTTTATTTTATTGAATATAATTATAGAATAACGTAGATATTGAGGTAATAATGACTTCGCTCAGCTGTGACTGGGTCACTAGTTCAAGGGCGCGACAGTAACGGGTCATAGATCATCCGCGCGCCGCGACGTCCTAAGAGTTAAAAGAACATACTTTGCATTCTGCACTTTGTTGCGAACCGATAACTGATCAATAAATAGGTCATTCGTTTTGACAAACCATTCTAAATGGGGCCAAAAAAATAATCTCTTGTAGATTAAAATAGAATTGCCGTCAATTACTGGAGTTAAACATATTACAAAAAAATTACAATTTTAAAAATAGATGAGTTAAGAGAAAGAAAGATACAACAAAACATAAGAGAACAGAAGCTTTCTGCTGTAGTCTTTGATATGTTTTTGGCAATCTTGACGATGTGATATGTAAAGATTTGACGAAGAGAAAAAATAAACATAAATATATCATGAAACTTTAATATTCTCTAGGGTATCAGCTACCAGATTGCTCACCTGCAGACTGAGCTGGAGGCTGCTCGTCTCCTCACTTACAACGCTGCCCGGCTCAAGGAGAACGGACTGGAATTCGTCAAGGAGGCTGCCATGGCTAAATACTTCGCTTCAGGTATTGTTTTTTTGTTTTAAACTTTGTCCAAAAAAATACCTTATTATATATTCATATATATATATATATATATATAAGTACTCCTGACCAGCCCGAATCTAGGGGGGGAGGGGGGAGGGCAAACCTGGGGAGCAGTTTCGGGGGGCGCCAAAGTCATGATATAGTCTGATTAAAAATTAAAAATTGTCCGTGTAGTGACGCTTCACAAAGCGCCTAGCACAATATGCAAGTCTGGTTGGCTCGCCGTCGACTTGTTCACTTGTAGTTTGTGGCGCCTTTTTCTTAGGCGCCACACCTACAAGTGAACTTATATATTTGTAAGTTATTTTAAGTAATTTTTCTCAAACGCTGGAGGGAGGGGCGCCACTTAAGTTTCTGCCCTGGTTCAAAAAAATTGTAGATCCGGGGCTGTTCCTGGAATAACATATATATGAAGTATGATGTCTTTTGCAAATGATGGACCGGCTCGACCGGAGTGATGCCACGACCTCTTAGAAAACCGCTGTTAAGCAATTCTTTCCTTGATTTTCACCGAATGAGTAAGATAACTCAAGAGCCAATGACAGTCCTGTTGCCCCTTTCCCACTCCCCGCCTCTTAATAGTTCAGGCAGGTAGAGGCACTCAAAGACTGATTATACACTTATGACTCTTCAATTGTAGTAGTGTCCATGGGCATTTGCTTGAAACTGTTGATGTAGTGGTTAGTGATCCTGACTATTAAGCCGAAGGTCGTGGGTTCGATTCCCGCCCAGGACAAATAATTATGTGATGAGCCCGATCATTTGTTCTGTGTCTGGGTGTAATTAATCTATATATGCATGTATTTAGAAATATAAGTAGTTTGGGATCAGACGGCCGCGTGTGAAATATATAAAAGAAAACACAAAAAGAAATGGAGAATATTTAAGTGTTCTGCGTGATATTCTGTAATGGATCTGATGACCTATACATTTTATTTACAGAAATCGCTCAAACGCTGACATCAAAATGCATAGACTTCATGGGCGGAGTCGGTTTCACCAAAGACTTCCCGCAGGAGAAGTTCTTCCGCGACGCCAAGATCGGGACCATCTACGAGGGCACCAGCAACATGCAGCTGCAAACTATCGCCAAGTTAATAGAGAAGGAATATACACAATAGACATTTTAATAACTAGTACCTATTATTAAACGAATTTATATCAGTCTGTTTTTTTTTATGAAAGAGATAATATGAGATTACTCATTTGCTCATTCCTGATTCGATATTTTCCAATATTGCTAAAGTTGAATCATGTATTTACTAATAATTAACCTTTTGTACAATGTTTTATACAATAAGTAATATTGTTTTATAAAATACACCAATTTTTTTACATATTTTTAAATGCGATTTAGAACAGTGATTGTATGTACAAATTATAAATAAAAAAGTATATAAACCAACCATTGTGTTTATTTCTCATCATCGCCAACAGGAACATTTAGTATTCCACTGACTGGACATTGGCCTCTCCTTAGAAAAGAGGTTAAGTATTAAACATGCAACGTTGACTGTGATGTGGTTAAATCGTATTGTGACCAAAAATTGGATCGGTATTCTGTTAGTCTTAGTAGGTAATACTTGACTACGAAAATACCTTTGTTGGCATTTCGCGAAGTGGGCATTCGCGAAGTTGGTATTTCGAGAAGTTGACTATTTGCGAGCGATTGGCATTCGGAGCTGATACCATCGAGAGTAGATCGACACTGAATTTTGAACAAATTTTTATCAGGAAATTTGATCTTCAGGAACCCTGACTGTGAGCTACTATCATAAAAACTGTGTGTGTTTGACTGTCGGATGGACTCTGGACACATGCTAGAATCTAATGCCTACGCATTTTATAGGCGTGATAATATAAACATTACATAAAGAGTTTACGTACATTCACAAGCCATTTGTATTCGAGTTTCTTGAAGACAACACATTTTACATACACACAATACGATTGTGCGAAAGAGATAACAAATTAACGTTTCATTACTGTGTAATTATTATTTATTTATGGTTACAATTCAACTTGAACTCTGAAAGCGCTGTTGCGTTGACGCTGTCGAATTTACACATTAAAAAAAATGTTCTCTTTACGACGTGTTAGCAATAAGGTGACCGACAGATATATTCGAAATAATTTGTATTGAAATTTGTTCCGTGTCTATTAAAAAGTCGGTTGTACAGATCTTGGAGCAATGGCGAGCTCCTGTGACACCTCAAAAAGGATGCAGCACACAAGCCCTCCCTCGCGCCCTTACTATGCTGAGAGAAGAAGAAGTCCAGATGAAAGAAACTAGTAAGTCCTGTTTTTACCTAATATAATTTTATCCTAAGTTATTTATTTTCGGGTGTGTGGGGCTAGCAGGAAGTGACCCTAACTGCTAAGCTTGAGGTCGTGGGGTCAATTCCATATTAACATATTATTATAGTGTGATGAGCATGATAATTTCTTCTGTCTGGGTGTAATTTATCTATAATATTACGCATATAAAAGTGTGAACAGACGTCACCATAGTACAGGCTCTGCCTAGTTTGGGATCAGACAGCCGTGTGTGAGATATTTTATGTGAGATATTTTATGCCTATTTAAATTGTAATGTTAAATGTATATTTTATTAAGATGTGTTTGTATCAGAGCATTATGTGGTTTTAGTCGGTTCAAACTTGACATCCATCATTACTGTTAGTCTCAATAACCTGTAGAAAGGAAGTTGCCAGAAAATAAAATAAAATATCTGTATTGTGTACACCTTCGAAACTTAAAAAGTTCTGCACCGATTAAGTTTATTTGACACGATATACTCGTACAACCCGATTCAAAGATTGTTTTTCATTTTCTCTCTATGCAACCACAATGTGAAATATGGAGGGCTACTTCAGCTTCTACGATACTCGTATTCATTTAATTAGACTCAACTACTTCATAAATATTTATAATATGTAAAACACAGAAAAATAGATTACCAGGTTTTCAATTTCACTTTCGAAAAATCTAATCCGACAAAGCGTGATAAAACTCTATGATACTTTAAAAGTATTTTCTTTGACTATCTTATTCATGATTATCTTTTTGATTTTCTTTTAATAGTCAGAAAGTTCGCTTCGGAACAGATAGCCCCCTTAGTCAGAAAGATGGATGAAGAACAGCACATCGACGACGGTATTCGAAAATTACTCTTTGAATATGGCGTAAGTTTTTATAAGAACTATCATTATACCAACCCGTCTGGCCAGCGTGTCATAGTAGGCCAAAACCTCTTTTCTAAGGAGGGCCTATGTCCAGCAGTGGCTGTGGCTGTTGATAAAATAAGAGAATGGTACTCTATATAGGAATTGCACTTCTTTGCTTTGAGCTAAATCGAGGTTTTACTAGCGTAATAACAGTCAACGGTTACAATCACAACAACCGGACCGATAAGGTACGCGACTATGTATTTTGACATTCATGTTTGTTATGTGTAAAATACGTGTATGTAGATTATGTTGTAATGAATATACGAATCTCTTATTGTAAACCATAGTCAATGTCTGTTCGTTTGATGAGGTTAGTGGTAAAAGGGTTGGTATTGATTTATCAAATTATCTATACTAATATTATAACCTTCCTTGTTTGATTAACAACTTACCCACTGACTTACGTGCCAACCTCAACACGAATAATATTAAAAATAGACTCAGGTACAGGTACATGAACTAACGGTACTTACTTTGAACCTTAGTGTTTTTACAGTACCAAAAAACCAAAAATGTTATTTACCTACATTCTTTAAGTGTTAAATAAATTTAAAAAAAAAACTGCGAAATTGTATCTGTCTTGTTGTGTTTGTCTGTTATCTCTTTCCGCTTAAACCGCCGAATCATTTAGATGAAATTTAGTGTAGAGATAGCTTGGGTCCCGGGAAAGGACATAGGCTAGTTTTGAGCCTAATGATCATCCTTTAAGGAGGTTTGTATGGAGAATCAATAACCGCTGAACCTTCAGATTCAGGTGAAATTTGTTAAGGACATAGTACTTTGATTCTCGATAAAGGACATTTTTTTTATTGATACCCGACAAACTGCATTTTATTATTACATCACCAGAGGCAGACCATCATGATATTAAATTCGCCCATTTCTGTTTTTGGTGCTTATTGACTTGTATGTTTTAAATTTATTTAAATGAAACAATTAATATTTATATTACAGTCTTGTAGTATAACAATGTAATTATTTTGCCAGTTCATGGGTATCGAAATTCCTACTAAATATTCCGGCTCGGGCTGTGGTTTCCTAACAATGACGCTTATTGTCGAAGAGCTATCCAAAGTAGACGCTGCAGTTGCAGTTTATGTGGACATCCAGAATTCGATAATCAACGCACTCTTCATAGAGCTGGGTACAGAGGAACAGAAGCAAAAGTACTTACCGAAGCTTAGTACCGAATACGTAGGTATTTTATTCTATACTAGCTGACCCTGCAAACGTTGTTTTGCTATTTACATTATTTTTTTTTTGAATTTCTTAAAATCCGTTCTTAGCTGACTTCTACTCGGTGAAAAGAATATTCCTACCAAACTTCAAGTCTTTAGCTCTAATGGTTCCAGAGATATCGTGATGAGTGACTATATACGTGGAAATATCTTATATATATATAGATTAGTTTTCAATGCTCTCATCATTTCATCTTCAACTATGGCTTAGATTAAACCTCCTATGGTTGTAAGTTTTAACCCGATTTAAGTTTTGATTTTGATATTATCGGCCAGTTCTGCTTCAGTTTTCGCTTCAGAGCGAACCCACGAATCTATGTTAGTTCTCGTCTCGATTAAACCAGAATTATTCTTGAATTGGCCTCCAATTTTTGGAAGTTTTATCAAGATTACAGATACGCATTATATACTACCCCATACTGCAGGCTGGAAGCTTTTGCCTCACAGAGCAAACCTCAGGTTGCGATGCTTTCGCTCTCAAGACAGTCGCAAAGAAAGATGGTGACCACTACATCATCAACGGCTCCAAGATGTGGATCTCGAACTCGGATGTCGCTGGAGTGTTCCTCGTTATGGCAAATGCTGATCCCTCCAAGGTAAACAATCATGGTCTAAGCAATCTCTCTATTGTAATACAAAATTCTCTATATTTTAATGGATTTAAATAAAAAGTCTGTGACGGAACTAACCTTGTTCTAAGAGACCAAAGACAATGATAATGACGATGTGACGACTAAGCTAGGGTCACCATTACTTTAACGTAAACGTTTTATCAAGTTCTCTATAGCTTCTGGAAGGAGCTTGGTTGGCTCACCTAGCTAACCAGTCCTCGACGCATAATGGGTCACTCTTGAGTCTAAATGTGTAAACCGAAGCCCACAACCAATACCAAAAAAGTTATCTATAGTCAACTGTTGTAATTTGTAGTTTAAATTTTGTGGTTTTCCTTCAGGGTTATAAAGGTATCACCTGCTTCATCGTAGAACGGGATACCCCTGGTCTATCCGTCGCTAAGAAAGAGAACAAACTTGGTATCCGCGCCTCCGGCACCTGCATGGTCCATTTCGACAATGTTAGAGTCCCGGAAGGTAACATTCTTGGAGAATTTGGAAAAGGGTACGTAGGACACCTAAACCTGGAGTGAAAGATCAGTGGCGTGAAAAGGTTTTCTAAAAGCTAACTTTGAACCAGCTTGATTTATTTTCTAAGGCCTTTGATAAGATGTCAAATAGATCGAGGTGACATGGACAATTTTAGAAATGTTTAGGAACATCTAACTTTTTTTTTACATTGCAAATATTCCCATATTACAGTTACAAATACGCGGCAGAGGTTCTGAATATTGGACGTATTGGTATCGCGGCACAAATGGTCGGACTTTGTCAGGGCTGCATGGACGCTACCATTCCTTACTTGCTGGAAAGGAAGCAATTCGGCAAGAGCATATTCACATTTCAGGTATTACATGATTGCCTTGATTTAAATGTGACTTAAGTATTTCAGCCATGACATCTACCATGATTACACGGATGGCGTTATGGTTTAAAGTTTAAGCGGTCACCTCACCGCTTCTTATTGCGCTGAGTGTTGTGTGTCTAGACTGAAACCATGAATGAAGTCCCTAGGGAGTGGAATTATACCTACTTAAATCTTCTAGGTATATCATCATATATACATATATTAAAACTATATTACCACTGCCAAAACGTCAAATCTTTGTGGTTCGTTGTGGTGTGAAAGTACCTTCGTGATACAGGTATTTGTGAAATATATCCTGATTCTACTGTTGCCAAAATAAATGATTACGGGGAAGCAGAAATCGAAGTAAACCTTACTTCATTCCAGGGTATCAGCTATCAGATTGCTCACCTGCAGACTGAGCTGGAGGCTGCTCGTCTCCTCACTTACAACGCTGCCCGGCTCAAGGAAAACGGACTGGGATTCGTCAAGGAGGCTGCCATGGCCAAATACTATGCCTCAGGTATTGTGGTTCTGTGGCATTAGAAATTTTATTTGGATTAAATCAAGAGCTTACCGTGGGAGAACGGCATTCACTCCAGTCGAACCGAAGTGATTCCACGGCCTCACAAACAATTGTGTTAAACAATTCTTTCGTTACTTTTTACCCTGTCAGTGAGGTCACCGGATACCTGCCCCCCACCCTCCAGTCCGGGGGGAGTTACTGATGACTCTTACTGGTATCCATAGGCAGTGGTTCGACTAGAAACAAGAACAGAATGGAGAGCCGGGTCTGATTTAAGTCAAAATTATTATAATTTTGTTATTTAATAAAAATAATTAGTTATCACATCCCACACACGTCAGTCCCGGTCAGTCACGGTCATTCCAAACTAGGCAGAGCCTGTACTATGGGAACCAGACTGCTGATAAACATAGGTACTTAATTTTTTATATATACATACTTTTAGATTTTAAAGGCGACTAAGGGCTCAAAACAACGCAGGACACCACCACTGCAAAAAGAACAAAGAAAAAGAAGGAAAACTTGACACAAACCCTATACCAATCCGTCTGACCAGCGTGGTATAGTAAGCCAAAACCTCCTTTCTAAGGAGAGGCCTATGTCCAGCAGTGGACTATTAAAAGCTGTTGATGATAGATTTTTACCAAGATACAGAACAACTCATCGTGCTTTTCACAAAATTATATTTGTCCTAGTTGGGAATCAAACCAAAGACTTACGGCTAAGTAGTCAGGGTCACTAGCTACTATACCAACAGGCCTGATGAGTTCAAATGGTAATATGGACACAGTTTATTCTAACAATAAGTTTTATCTTATAGAAATCGCCCAAAGGCTGACATCAAAATGCATAGACTTCATGGGCGGAGTCGGTTTCACCAAAGACTTCCCGCAGGAGAAGTTCTTCCGTGACGCCAAGATTGGGACCATCTACGAGGGTACCAGCAACATGCAGCTGCAAACTATCGCCAAGTTAATAGAGAAGGAATATAAATAATAGAGATAACAAGAATATGTATGATATTAAGGTGTAATTAAATCACTATTTTAGCAGATTATTTGTTATTATTGCATCTCATCAGCTCTGTGGTTTATAAGATCTATATTTACAAATAGATTTATATTTTTTAAGGTGCTGTGTTAAATGTTGGCTTATTGGATTATTTACTCAATAGTTTAAAACTTAACATACATTGCACTATTGTAAAAAGTATATAAATACATGCCGATTTAAAAAAAATGTTATGTTCAGTCAGTTAGTTAAATAATAAGTCCATATTTTGCATATACATATCTTCATAAGTACTTCCACTAGTTTTTTAATAGAATAGATTACATATTATTAAAATGTAATATCTTATTACATATATAACATATTATTATAATAAAATATAAATATTAACATAAATACATTTCACATATTTTTAACAAGTATATTTAATAATGTTCAAAGTGTGTGCATTGTGAGCATGTACGTTCTAAATGAAAAAAGATTATAAACTAAAATGCTTTTATTTATATAAACAATTGAAACTATACACACTATTATTATTCATGATTTCATGGTTTGGGATCATGGGGCAATTTAAAACCGACCATATTCGCAGTCTCTTCAATTGACCGTTCCCCTTTTCCCTTGAACTCGGCATTAATTTCCATGGTGCGTCTTGAGTTTTGAAGATAATCACAATAGGCTTTAGCTCTAAAATGCATTTCATCTATGGCCTTACAAAGCTGTTGGTCAGTAGTCTGGTATTTCCTGTATTGATCAAATATGTACCGCACCATTTGATTTCCAGAAAGTTTTTTACTGTAGCTCTGTTTACGTAACTCTGACAGTAACAGCCTTAAGGTGACAAGTGTAGGTTTTGAAGTAATTGACGCCATTTAGACCTTCAAAGAAATTAAACGTTCAACTTTTGTATCATCAGAGATGTAATAAACTCTTCAGTATTTTCATATGTCGGTTTAACATCCTTCTTCCAAAAATTTGAATCTAATGTTTTTAAACAGTGTCTAGGAAAGTGATGGACTGAAGTATCATTAAAAATATCTGTAAACTTAAAGTTATTCTCTAAAATATCTTCAGATATGTACGGAGATATTTTGTAAATGTAAGGAACAGTTTCTGAAAGAATCCTACTAGGATTATTATCTATTAAGGAGTTAAAACTGTTACAGATAAGTACACAGTTCTGTAAATTAGAACCCCAGTTACTCCACAAAAAATTATTAGTCAGTTGTTTTGGACAGTGTGGTAAATAAATAATAGAAGGATTTTCATTTGATATTACATAACTTCCTTCATTATTTTCTGTTATAACTTCACACCCTAGCTTATTCAAGACTTCGCATTCTCCTTTGTAAAATATTGGATCGTGAGTTAACACTCTTTGGGGTTTCAAATGATCCTTCAAACACAATAATAGAGCTAGTTGATACTTTGAGACGTTACATTCCGATAAATGTCCCAGTCCAAAACAAACAATTTCTACAACATTTCTAGCTTGCAAAACTTTACTCACAGTATTAAGAAAGCCTCCCAAGTAATTAGAAACACGTAAATCTTCAACAGCGCTCTGTATCCGTCTGAAAAACAATAAATTATATGAACATCCTAACCTAAAAATACAAATTTTCGTGAACATAAAAATGTTGTTACTCACTGAAAGACTTTCTCAACTTCTACAACTACGTCTCGTTTATCAAATTGTATCGCTTTTGGTGGAATTCTAGTGGGCTTATTTTTAGAAAGACGTTTTGATTTTACTTTCTGAAATCCATCGTTATCAATATCAACATTTGACATTTTATTAAACACAATTAAAAAATGGCAATATTTCACAATGTTGCCATATTGAACAATGTGCAATGCAGAAAGTTGTTGTATATATATAGTTATATATATACTACAATTATGAAATGCAATTTTAAATCTATCTCTCAAAAAAAAAGAAACTACAAAACAAAAAAAGTTAAAAGTGTTGTCAAATATTATAGGCTCAATGAGATACATCCGACTATTTGTCTTTTTCCTTATAGTCGGTCTTAAAGATTATCTGTCACTGAAGAATAAAAATGTCAATAGAATTCTCTTTCAAGTTCTTTCAGCTTCTACAGCTCGTGCTAGTTAGTGCTAGTTAGTCTTAAATCCACTGTTATATGGATATCAACTAACCAATCTCGCTAATAAAAAATAATAGTCATAAAAACAAAGAACTTACACTCGTGTAAATAGCATATACCTACGTACGGCAGCTCTTGAAATGTCGACCTCTACTTACAAAATAAAGTTAAATAAAATTACAAAGTTACCCGAGCCATATGCCTAACATTATTGTGTCTTACCTTACGTCCGCCCTACTTATTATTATTTTTTCTGTTTTTTAAACGATGTGCTTTTCTTATTCCTACAATAAACATTGTAGCAATAGCAGGTGTTCAGGCGCCTGATGGTATAGGCACCGCAAAACAGCTATGGATCGAATATTGCATGTTACCTGTGTCAGCAGTAAATAGTCGATAGCTTTAAGTCTGGAGATTTTACAAGGCAGTACACGCTCCGTCCACATCTTTACTGTTTTATTTCCGGATTCCGTGCTAATTCTGTACAGCATGTTTATACTCTACAAACTATTACTTTATAATGCAGCGTTCCTGTATTGTTTTGTTATAAAACTCGTATACCTACTGGCGTAAAATTACAAAATTAAAACGGGACACAACTTTGGTAGGAGGACTCGTGGAGACTAAATTTTTTGTGTTCATTCTGCCTCTTTTTCGCTCATCGGTTTTTGTTTACGGCTAGGTATCTCACTCGTACTATTAGGTATTTTAAAAATTAATGAACGTTTAAAAATGTATGAGAAAAAATTAACATTGTTGTTGGATTGTGTTTTGAAATTTGGCAAAGGAGTGGAACGAGGTGCGGGTGTGTAGACTATGGTTCCTGCGCAGAGCGCTCTTTACGGAATAGCTACTCAGACTGATTCGTATTTCGTACAGTTTTTAAATGAAACTAAAAAAACGCCGTGAGGGATACGCAGTAAGAAAAATTTGAGACCTGACTGATGTTGATAGATACAGCACGACTTGTTTACTACAGTTATTTTAGCATAGCATAGCATAATGTCATATGGTATTCTACTGTGTGGGTATGCTGCCGACATTAAAACTATTTTTGTGCTACAGAGAGAGTCTGGAGGAACGGGTGTCATGTCCCTCCAATACAAAGGCAGGATCCTCCGACTAGGCGAGGTGATCATGCCTGGCGGGCCGAGGCCCAACGGTTCATGTTGGGCAGTTGTAGTAATACATGCTAATTGGCGAGAGAATTCTTCATATCGCGATACACGATTATCAATTCTCATTCAGAAGTTACTCCGTAGTTCGGTGTGTCTTCCTGAGATAGCGCTGTACTAGTAGTATGTTTCTGTTTCTTTGTGTGTGGGAGTCGCCACAAGAGTGATTCGAGAAATTAATAATTTAGGCAATCGTTGTTCATTATGGCAGAAATTTAAAGAAATAAACGTAATGACAGTGGCATGTCAATAAATTTATATAAAAATGTAATATATGTTCATAACAACAAAGATAGCTTTTCCAAAAGATGTGATTTACATTCTATAAAGACCAGAAATAGGAATCAACTTGTTGTACCAGCCTCTAGACTCCAAAAGATAAACAAGTCATTTCGAGGTCAATGTGCCAGATTTTATTTAATATAAAACATAAATTATGTCAGAAAGCCTACTACTCAACCGTGGATTATTTAAAAGACAAGAATTCTTGTGATTAATTTAGCACAGGATATTTCTTAAGTGGAAATGTAGTGTTGGCTAGTGCGCTTTTAATATTTTCATTTATTTTATGTTTTCGTCACTTTATACCATCTTTTTTTCTCTTCATTGCCGAAAAGGCAATTCCTTTTAGTTCTTAATAACTGACATACTGGCCTACAAAATAAAACAATGTTGTGGTATATTTAATTATGCTATTGTGTCTATCTCTTAATTAAAAAAGAGCAGCCGTGAGTTTGTTTGCTCTTTCTTTTCATAAGGCTCAACCCCTTGGAAACAGGCGGTTGTAGATCGGCACATTCATATATGTAATAGATTTTCGATAGGTATAATTTTAATCAATTTATTTTAATTAATATTTGACAAAACAGAGATTCTTTCTTCGTCTACATACGTGGCTTCGTTTACATAATATATACTTACAATTTATATTATATTTTTTCAAAATACTCCCCATCACTCATAAATTTCCAACCGCCTTAACCGGTCTTGGAAACACTTATTCCAGTCTTCCTCCGACAGTAAAAAATATCTGATTCGTAGGCATCCACTGCAAACTTTAACCTCAGCAAAGTTCAAAGCTTTGCTTAGTTTGAGGCCAAATGGTGACTATCAAATCTAGATTGACTGAATGAATACTCATATACTTTTATTTTGTAAATCCCAACAAATTGTATATAGGAAACACACAAACTCCGAAGCAAATATTTAATTTTCTAGTCGTACAAAACATTTTGTGCGACCCGGGAATCGAACCCGAGACATCGCAGTCCACGCCACTAAATAATCTTAAACCGTGTAGTAAGCATTTTCACATAAGTTTTGTTTAACCATGTTAATACTTAATTCATGAAATTAGCTTGGCATTTTATTGTAGAATCGCAAACCCTGAAATTGAAAAGACTTGCTTACTTTTATAATAGAACACTTCAACTTCAAAGATTTGTCCAAAAAAAAATCTGTTTTTGTGCGCTTACATGGCAAAATGTGGCTAAAACTTACGAGATAGACCAAAATAATGTACTACGGAATTGTATTTCTTAATAAGATCTACAAAAAAGTAGTAGTAAAAATGGTTACTGTGGTCCTTAGGATAAACCACAGTAACCATTTTTATCTTTTAAATATTACAAAAAAAAGGATTATTTACGACGCTATATAAAAAAATATTATTATTCCTTATCTAACAAAATACTTTTGGATACGTTATGTTTGATGTAGATTAAAATTGGTCTGAACAGCATATCATTCAAATGAATGTTTTAGAAGATATTATTTACTTGCAGAAATAAATATCATTTCACTTCGGCATACAAGTGAAAAACCCCTTATCATCCCGAGGGTGTCGTAAGAGCCGACTAAGGGAAAAAACTACGCAGAACAACAGCACTGCAGAGAGAAGGAAAACTTGACACAAACCCTATACCAACCCGTCTGGCCAGCGAGGTATAGTACGCCAAAACCTCCTTTCTAAGGAGAGGCTTATGTCCAGCAGTGGACTGTTAAAGGCTGTTGATGTGATGTGATTTGATGATGTGAATTTTAAAACCCTTTTTTTTCTGTGCGGAAATCCCCTCGGATACCACATACCGGTGGCAATGTCGGACTCGAACCGACTAAAACCGCAAGCCGTCTCAGGTACCAGTAGTCGGGGAACCAGGTGTACCCTAGAAAGGAAATCCCTGGTGCCCCGACGTACCTCGGGCCATCTACGGCGGGTAGAAGACCCCCCCTGTGTGGGAACCCCCATGTTCCCTCTGTGCTCCCGGAAGGGCGCGCGCGCCTCGCAGCGCGCTCACCGCCACCCCGGCCTGCTTCTGCTATGGTTACAGATGGCCTCACCTGTCACCCCCAGGCCTGTGCTTATGGAGGACGGAGGTCTTTCTGCGGTACCGGGCCCGTTCCCGAGCCTGACGAGCCGGGAGAGCTCTAAACCTCTCCCGGTCCCGCTCCGCCATCTGCTTCACAAGCATAAGTTGATCGCAGAAGGAGATGGCAGAGTTCCACGCACTCTCGCTCCGCATGATAGCCGCAATCAGGTTATCGAGCAAGAGAACTTCCAGATGGCCGCCCCGAGGTCTCGCCTCTGCTCCACCCCTCCCCAGCATTCTGCCAGCGTGTGGAGCGCCGTGTCCACGGTCCAACCATCGCAGTGGTGGCACTCAGGCGTTGGCTCCTTGCGCATCAGACACAGGTGATCCCGAAACATCCTTTCCCAGTGATCACCGGCGTCAGTCGGTATGAGAGGGTCCCGTGATGCCTCTCGAGCCAATCTTTCATAACGGGTCTTACCGCCGCGATGACAGCGTGCCCGGCGCTCGGTTGCCCAAGTCGTTACTTCCACTCCCCTACGAGGGCCCGGCGGAGTTGGGATTTCCGGTCATCGATTTCTCGAGTCTCAGGACTCCGACCCAACTCCCGCGCCTCCTTGCGCCACTGATACAGAGCCGCAAGGGCTCTCGCCTCCAGGTCCCACGGTGGAGTTCCGGCCAGGAGACTCTACTATCTCTCACTGTTTATCTCTGTAAGAACTATGTGTTATATATGTAGGTATGTAATGTATCTATACTCGTATGTATGTATGTATGTGTATATTTATATGAATGTACGTATGTGTATGAATATGTATTTATGTAAATCTATATTATGCGCACCACAGACTACACATCACTATACAGTATAGTCCATCTAAAGGTTGCCTGTAAGAGATCGCAGATTTTTTAACTTTATGTTCATATTGCATTGTATGTCTTCTATCCGTGGTGTGCAGTAAAGAGTACCTATCAATCTATCTATCCAAATATGGTAATAACTGAATTTTGTATTCTTTTCAAAACCGACATTATTCTACGATGATGACGATTTTTTGGTCTCGCTCCCATCTACTCAGAACTCGCGATAAGGAACTTCGTTCCAAAAGGTAATTTTTAACATTACAATGTTCTGATACCGATTACAGCATCCATTCCCAGCCCTGCCTCACCGCGACTACGGAATTATTTTGTTGTAA